GAAAATCTCTCTTTTTATTCATTTCTAAATTATTTGTAGATTTAATTTTGATTACTTCTTTAATATAATATTTATCAAGAGGTATTCTAAATCTCCAAATGGATGGATTGTTTTTTATTCTTCTTTGTCTTTGGAAATCTGTGACAGAGAAAATACCATAGATTCACCCAACCCTGTCCCAGCTCTCCTCTTTTCTGAGCAGATGGGAGCCTGTACTCCACCAACCCCTGCAGTTAGGCAGGACCACTTGAGCAATTCTGGCCTATGAAATGTGAGCAGAAGGGACATGTGACACATCCAGGAGCTGCTGAGACAATTTCTCTGCAAGTTCTCTGGTCTTGTTCTCTGAACTGGTAAGGGTAGAGGCCTTTGCTGAGAATGGCTGAATCCCAGGATGAAAGAATTCTGGTGAGAAGGAGAAATAACAGAATGGATTTTGTATGAGGAAGAAATAAACTTCTGTGGTCATGGAGATTTTGGGGTTTCTACTTCAGCATAGACCTAACCTAACCTGGTGAATATACACTATTATTATTGCTGTGTCAACATCTTCATAATCATTTTCCTCCTGTGAGTTAACTTGCATGCAGGAGAAACACAGTCAAACAAAAATGTTCAGTTTTAGGGAAACCCAACAGAAACTTGTCAGTACTATCAATTTACTGAGGTGGCATATTCTGTACAAGATTTTGTGCTGAGCTCTGTGGATACCCTCTGTGAATAAGAATGTACAATGAGAGCATGACAAGTTTTCCTGAAAGTTTCAAATAAGAATGCATAAGGATGACTCAGACCAAATGCTCTTTCCAATGTCTATGGCCTTTGATCCCCCAAATTGCTGCATCACCCATCTCCCTAAGTGCCCCCATGATCATGGTTCAGTAGAGAATTTTCCTTATCTTGATCACTTTCTGAATTAACATGTATTTTGTGGGTTTTGTTTTTAGATAGCAGCCTGAATGCTGCTTCTGATTTGTGCAGTTTTCACACATGCTATTGTTTGCAGACACATTTTGGCTGGGGCCTCATCTGATGAGCCATTTGTTAGTTCTGACTGAGTAGGTCACTTGTGGGCTCAATTAACCACTTGCCCTTCATCTGATGGTGCAAGCGGCCAATTGCACCTGCAATTAGCTAATTAAGGGTTCGGTCATTTCCATAGGCAATTTTGCCTTTATCTAACTGTGGGGCTGCACAGGATTCCTTTCATCGTCTGAACATATACCAGCCATTGTAGGCAGAAGATGATAATTCTTGATGAAGTGTAAGGTAGCAAAAAAGGAAATGAAAAATTGTTTGTTTTGTTTTTAATTTCCTCATTTGGGTTTTTTTTTCAATTGTTTTTTGTTGTGGTAAAGTACACATAACATAAAATCTATCATCTTAACTATTTTATTTTTAAGTGTATAGTTCAGTTGTATTAAATACATTCGTAATGTTGTGCAGCCATCACCACCATCCGCCTCCGTAACTCTTTCCATCCTGTACAAGTGGAAATCTCCCCCCTTAAGCAATAACTTCCCATTCTCCTTCCCCCAGACCCTGGCAACCACCCTTCTCCTGTCTGTCCCTATGAGTTTGACTGCACTGAGTATCTCATATAAGTAGAATCATACAAAATTTGTGTTTTTGGTGACTGGTTAGGAAATGCTGAAATTTTATTCTCCAATGCAGTTGTCCATGGTAGGCAAAACTCAGAGATTAAGAACTTAGAATTTGTTCTTTTCAACTTAAGACGATCTCTATGTAGATGTTTTAAAAATATTTTGATTACCAGGTATTTATCTGTTTGAAAAAACATGTTTAACATCACAAGCTGAGAGAATTACTGGATTGTGTGTGGGCCCACATCCTTATACAAACTCCTTCCAACAATCTTCACTGCTGCTCTGAAAGAGCTGAGGATGCAGTGGAACCTAGAGCAGGCTCTCTCCAGTGGCATGGCAGGGAGGGAGAGGGCTGTGAACTCAAGAGGAGGAGGGGAAATTTAATCACTGCTGTCCTTTTGAGAGATGCTTTACAAATGGCTTTTAGTGGGCTGAATAGTTCATTCAAGAACCAGGAAGCAGAACTGGAAGGTTGTTTTTTTTTTTTTTCCTTAGTGCCCAGACAAAAGACTGCAAACATGTCAGAAGCCCCTTCTGCCTGAATCCAAAATGAAAGGAGTCGAGTTCTCCCTTCCAGAGGGTGACCAGTACATAGGCAGCAATCACAGAAAGCACATATTGTCCAGATTTTTCATTGTATGTAATCTGTTGAAATCATAGCCATACCGTCAATTGCTATGGCCCATCTGTCAGGACATTGAAATCGCTTTATTTTACAGAGCCTGCTCACAGATTCAGTAAGGAATATTTACCGAGTGTCATCCGAGATCTCAGAGGTTCCATAAAACACTTAATTAACATACCAGATCCACTTCAGTTAAGCCTATACCTGCTTTCTGAATATCAGTTACCGATTTGATGACTCCTGAGGCTCAGGTCGGCATGGGAGAGAATCGCCAGAGCTACTGGAGAGGGAACTGGAGGCAGAGCAAGGTGGAGGGGCCTCTGGCAGCTGCTCTTTTCCCCCCGGGTCCCAGGAGCAGGTGACAGAGCTCCACTAAAGAGCCACCGAAGGAAGGTCTGTAGAACTTCCTTGGTTTCTCTTCCTCTTTTTGTTTTGTGTGTAATCAGCAGAAATGCTGCCTTGCATTGAGCATTCATTGTTCATGTCATCTTATCTGACTTGCCTGGCTGGTCTCTACTGCTTACAAGCCATGTGACCTTAGGCAAGTGACTTAACTTCCCTGGGCCTCAGTTTCCCTTCTTGTAAAAAGAAGATAAAGTATCCCTAATGGAGTTGATGTGATAATTAAAGAGGTAATGTGTTATTAGATTCTAGTATTGTCAGCCTGTGAAGGGCTAGAGACTAGCGCCTTAAGGTCAAGGGTTATTGCTCACAACATTTGCTCTGCATAGACTAAGTGCTAGCCACAGAACTGCTGATTGACTGAGTAGATATTAATGGGGTCACATCAGCAATAATACCGCTGCTTCTATAGCTTTGGGCCTTTTGTGTGCCTATGATGTCATCTACATGTAATGACTTTCAAGTGTTTAGAGCAGTTTTCAAGAGTATCTCCTTCCTGGTGCCATATTTGTTGCCCTCTCTACAGCAGGGCATTTGCTCAGTGCCACTAGCAACAAGTAAGCAACTCCTAAAACTGAACGGGGCCTGACAACTTTGAGACATTCTAGGTCAAGGTGGAGGAAAAGACCCCAGCCCCTGCTTTATGTCCCATTCCATACAGGCGTCGGTCCCCTTGCAGGGCCGAGTGAGACTTGATGATTCACAGGACTTCATGAAGGGGTTCAGTAGTTGTTTTCTTCAGCTCCCTCATTCCGAAGGACTCAGATATGATGAATTCCACTGGGGCTGTGCTTGGAGACAAATCCAGCAGGCTTTGTGCCAATCTCAGAATGACAGAGCCCTCTATTCAGTTGCCTCCTTTTCACTGTTTTCTCTCCCAGGAAACTCCTCACGTCTTTACGCAAAAAAGGCATCTGTCTGCCCCAACTTCTCAGACATATGTGGACAAGTCTGAATGCCCATTTAGGATAATGCTGGGACCCCTGTTTCATATATCTATCTACTGTGATATTTGGTGCACCCTAGAAACTTTAAAAATTTGGGTCTTTTTCTCTGTTCTGGAAACCACATCATACCCTGGGGTCATGATTGTTTTTTTCAGATGTTCAAATTACTTCTTTCTCTCTGGTATAGGGGAATTCTCAGACTAAAGTGTTTTGAATCATGATGAAAGCCTCAGACTTCCATGACTTAATTTCTCTAATTACTAGCTCGAGGAAGGCCTAGAACAGGCTTGAACTTAGCAGAGTGCTGCTCAAACACGTTTCTTCTTGAAGACGCAATTGGACGCTACTAGTTCTCCTCTTGTCATTTTTTTACATCGAGCAAGATGACATTAGATGAACCTGTTTCACTCAGTTTAGGCTAAGTGATGAATGATGCCTTGGTGTGTTACAACAAAAAAGGTTTCTCACTCTGGCTTTCCACATCATACCAGAACCCAGGGTGACAGAGAAATTAAATTCATTCTGTTGATTAGGAGCCACTGAGTATTTTTAAGCAGGAGAATGACATTGTGAAGTCTGAGCTTCAAACAATCCCTCTGATGTGACGGACCATGGGAAGAGCATGAGTAGGGGAGGAAGAAACTGGTAGCAAGGAACCAATTATAAGGCATGTGCCCAGTGGTATGGATGGGATATGGGAAACTTGTTTCCGGCTTGATGGAAACCACGAGGCTGTGGGCATGGAGAGGAGATAACTTGCACCTTACGTGAAGACAGTCTAAAAGAGAGGGCAAAGGCAGTCCAGGTTAGTGCCCAGTTGCCGTAGAGACAAACTAACTCCTGGAATGCACAGTGAATGCAGGGCACAACACACACACAAAAACAAGACTTCTGACCTGTGTGGAATGACCTGCCACCCCAGAAATACCTCTGGGTTCTTGGAGAGAGCAAATTGTTGCCAGCCTGAGGCCTGTAGCAGGGGTTCAACATCTTAGCAAATGAATATTTGTCTTCTTGCACCTGTTGGTGCTCCAGTAACATCCTGCTAATCTCTCAGTATCACTAGTCCAGGGCTTGCTTTCCAGGGCATGAAACAGCTGGCAGCTCAGGCAGTTACAGGGAAGAGTTGCCTTCTTCGAAATGCATGCAGGGCTTCATGTTCAGGAAGCTGCTGGGGTCACCTCCTGAGGTTGTATTTTTGGCTTTGCCAGCCATCTTCCTGAGGTCACCATTTGTAGATACATCTGTGGAAATTTTAAGAGCAAGGCTGTGCCTTAGGAGGAGGGGAGTGGAGGGGACTTAGGTATTTAAATGGGCTCTTTGTACTCTCCCTCTCTCTTTCTCTCTCTGTGCTTCACTGAGCAAACTAGCCCTGTATCACTGCATTGATCATTCTCCTCACAGCCTCCTGGAAAAGAATGAGCAATCTGTGAGAGATTTATCTCCAGGCTGGACTGTCCTCCAGCTGTGAGTGACAGTCAAAGAACCGTCCGTGCCGGGCCTGAGAAGATGGATCCCCCATCAGAAAGTGCTGGAGGTGAGAGAACCCTCTTGGTGGCGAAACCCCCTCCCCAGAAAGGAAACAAAGGGGGCCTCAAACCGAATGGGCAGAGCAGAAAGGGAGCATCATCTAAAGGGCTGGCCGTGGTTCTCCCTGTTGGTCCCAGGAGCCAGGCTGCACCCACATCTAGGAGCCTTCCGCTTCACGCAGTGTGGCTCTGGTGAGGAGACTTCTCAGATTTCAGGAGCCCTGCAAGGCTTTGGAATGCATGCCAGTGAGGAATTTGAACATCAAAAGGTTCAAAGGTGGTTGGAAAAATCCAGTCGTCAAATTGTCGAAAGCAAAACACGTCTTCTCTGTCCTATTTTTTACTTTAGTAGTGACGACCGGTGGTACTAAGAATCCAGGGGAGTCTCAACGTTTACCCAGCAAACCGTTTCTTCTAAGGAAGTCAGTACTCTGCAGCATTATCTTAATTTTTACAAGCTCGGGAAGGAGAAAAAGGGGTTATTTGACTTGGAGACAGAGAGCAGCTTTAGTGTTATTCATAATGGAACATTGCAAATCTGGGGAGTCAAGGTTCAAGTATGGGTCTCTTCACATTTGACATATTTTTATTTTGGGTCCAAATGAAGTATATTTTGAATAGGCAGGACAATATGTCCTGCCTTCAATCAGAGATAATACCAGACTAAGATAATATTCTGAGACAGCAACTTCCATTTCAACTTAAGATAAATATGCCCACAGTAAAATTTCACGCATTCTGGTTTTAAACCGTTGTCATGTCCAAGGTCAGTTAAATGTACTTGCAACTTAAAGCCAACCAGGAGGATGAGCTAACGTCAAGTTTTTTTTTTTAAGTGAAAATTTATCCATACTCACTGTTTTTGTTCCTATGCTATTCCTCAAAAAAAGTACACATATTATTCAAAAACTAGAAATAAAAGTATGGGTTAGCAATGGAACATAACAATGTACCAAGTCGTTTAAAATGTTATTCCTAAACAGATAAGTACCAACTGAAGAAGCTTTCCAGAGCTTCTGTGACCTTGACATTTAATCTGAGATTCTGCTTCTGAACAAAACGGCTGAGCCTCCTGAAGAAGCAGGTCTCAGACTAACGCATTATAGTCAACAGCTAATTTTTGAGGACCTTTTGGGAAGATATATAAGAAAAACAAGTTACGGATCCTGGCCTCAAGAAGATTACAGTTCAGGGTGGCTTTGAGCCCAAAGTGGGTGGCTGTGTATAATTTTCTCAGAATTCCAATTTGATTGTTTACAAAATTGGAATGAAAATATCTCTCTTATCTTCTTCACTGGATAGTTTAAGAATTAGGAGAGAAAGGGATGGAAGGAGAGAAAGAGGAAGGAGAGAGGAGTAGCAGTTTGGGAAGAATTTTGAATAATTGTACCATTCTGTGACCATCCATAGTTGTATCCTACTTTTAAAACCCGACAGAGAGTCTTTTTGTGAGGTAGCTTGTGCAGCACCCTTATGAGAAATGCCTTATATTATTCCTTTTCTGTGGTTGCCTAGAAACAATAAAAACCTTATTTGCCTGGCCCTCCCTCTTTTCTCTTCTCTTCCACCTGTTGAGGGACAGATTCAGTACTGTGACAAACAGCTATGAAGATGTGTCTGTGGTTTGCCCATGTGGCACTTTGGGGATGAGTAGACTTTGAGCTGGACCTTATCATATTCATCACCTCACTTAATCCTCACCAAAACCCTATGAGGTTCGCTCTCATTTTACATAAAAGGAAACTTAGCCTCAAAGAAGTTAAGGAATTGCCCCAAGATCAAAAAACTAATAAAGACCACAGTTGGATTTCAAAATGATCTGCTTTGGCCTTGATTGTCTTGGGAGTAAATAGACATGAAGGCATGTTCCAGTCCTGGGACCTTCCTGTGAATCTCTGACCTTCCCACCTGGTCTTATTCCATGACCTATTTTGCAATGCATGTCTAATGCCCAGTTTCTGAGCAGGCTCTGTTCACAAATGTGGGATACCCTGGGGTGACCGAAGAGTCTGGTGACCTGAGTTCAAGTTTCAGCTCCATCGCTTACTAAGCTGATCTCTAATTGCCTCATTTGCAAATTGGTAACAAATAACATGGGTCTCTTGTGAGGCTCTGTCAACATAGTGTATGTTAGGATGCAGTCAGGGACTGCTTATTAACCTGATAAAAGGTGCCTAGAAATCTGATTATAAATTTGAGTTCTGAGTTCAGGCTCATCTGGAATGGTCCCAGAACTAGGTGTGTCCTATAAACTGAAGGTACATTTAGGGGTGGTTTGTGACATATTTGGCGTCATGGAATCCTGGTTTCCCCAGGGCTGCTTTTGTAGATGAGCCTGCTAGAAAATGAGGTAGCTTCAAATAAAATAGTTTGCTGAGAAATACGTTAGAGTCCATCTAGTTCATTGGTGTCTCCAGTTGTTTTTATTAGGGGATGCCTTATTTTTTAAACACTTCTGAAAAGGGATTTGTTATGCAAAACTGATAAAAGAGAACTTTTCTGGATGGAGAGATGCAGGGAGACCCCAAGCCAGCAGCTCAGATGCTCATCACAAACCTCCTTTTCCAAAACCCTGAGGTTTTTTCAGAGCAGGTTTCAGCAGGGAAATGTACTGATACTTCTCACAACCTCATTTTGTAGATGAGGAAAGTGATGTCCAGGAAGAGTTACTTATTAGAAAGAATCCATCTATTTTAGTATATAAAGGCATCATCTGCAACAACTTGGGTTGGTCTTATATGCAACTGTATGACATGGTGATAGAAAAGCTAGTGTGTTCTATTTCTCTTTACAAAGGCATTTAAACAAATTTTCCCTTCCCCTTTCTTTCTTGGAGATTATATAATGATGACTCTGTTCACCTTGGCTACAGAAGAGAAACACATAGAATATCTGAAAAAATAAGACTTTTGTAATTCATCTTTTAAGAAAAACAGCTACTCAACATGTATTAAAAACCTGAAAAATTTTCATGCCCTTTGACCCAACAACTTCTCTTCTAGAAATTTATATAAAGAAATTAGTTTTAAATGCAAAAAATAACTTACATGCAAATGTTTATCACCCAATTATTTGCATTAGAATAAAGCTAATGTAACCAACCTATACATTAGGTAGAACAGTTGAATAATTGCACTTTAGTTCAATGGAATATTATGTAGCAATTAAAATAGATTTTACAGATGAAATACTTGTTGAAATTAGTAAAATATGTTAAAGATCTATATACTGAGACCCATAAAACATTGCTGAGATCAGCTGAATAAGACTTAAAGAAAGGAGAGATATACCATCTCAATATTAGAAGATTTGATAGTATTATTCCTCCAGATTGGTAAATAGAACCAATAAAATTCTAATCAAAATCCTAGTCAATTAAAAAATATATATATATGTATAAGTAGGATGATTTAAAATTTACATGTAACCATAGAAAATCAGACTTGTCAAAGCAATTTGGAAAAAGAAGTGGGAGGTTTATAGGAGCTGATTTCAAGACTTATAAAACTATAGCAATCAAGGCAGTATGATAACATAAGAATAGACATAGCTCAATGGGACAGAATAGTATAACTCATATGTATGCCAAGCTAACTCAATTGGAAAAGAATCATCTTTTCAACAACCTATACAGGAACAATTGGATATTGATATGGGGGAAATTGAACATTGATCTTTACAATATATCATATAGAAAATTAATTCAAAATGAATCCAAAATCTATAAATAAAAAATTATATAATTTCCAGAAAAAAACACAGCAAAAAAACTTCACAATCTTGAAGTAGGCAAGGATTTCTTGGGAGAAAAAGTACACTAATTATAAAAGAAAAACATGATAAATTGGACTTCATCAAAATGGAAAAACATTTCTACTCTTTAAAAAAACTGACTATAAAGATTACGAAAAGGCAAGCCACATATTCAGTGAAAATATTCACAATGCAGATATGTGACAAAGAACTTGTGTCTATGGTATATAAAGAGCTCTTATAAATCAGTAATATGAAGATAATCCAATTTTTAAAAAGGCAAAATATTTGAATAGACACACAATAAAGATCTATAAATGTCCACAAAGCATGTGAAAATATGTTCAAAATCACTAGACATCAAGGAATGAAGTAAAACCACAATGGCATATTACTACACATATGCCAGAATGACTAAAATTAGGAAGACTGACAATACCAAATGTTGGCTAGAATATGGAGCAATTAAACTGTCACACATTGTTGAAGGGAATGCAAAATAGTACTGTTACTTTAGAAAACAATTCGATAGTTTCTTAAGAACTTATTCACTTACCTTTGACCACCCAGCAATTCCACTTCTAGTTATTTACCCAAGAAAAATGGAAACATGTCCACAAAAAAAAACAACAACTGTAAAAGAATGTTCATAGCAGCTTTATTAATGATATTATAGACTGGGAACAACCCCAATGTTTATCAGTAGGTAAGTGAATAAACAGGTGGTTGAATAAGTAATACAATAAAAAGCAAACTTCTGATACACACAATGATAAGGCTAAATCTTAACACCAATATGCTAAATAAAAGAAGCCAGATAGAAAAGTCAGACACATGCACACTGTCTGATTCCATTCAGGTGACATTCTAGAAAAGGCAAAAAAATGAACATAAACTTAAAGAAAGCATACTGATGGTTATTTGAGGCTGGGAACAGGAAGGGTTGTTTATAAAGAGGGACAGGGTAATTTACAGGGTCAACAGAAACTTCCTATACCTTGATTTGAATGATGGTTGCATGAGTGGGTACATATGGGTGAGTCATTGTGGAAAAGTTTTACCTCCATAAGGATTTAAAAAGTGAAATATTTTGTTATGATTTTAATGTTAAAAAATTTAATACTTAAGCAATAAAATCAAGATGCAAAAATTGTGGGCACAGTCTGATTATAACTTTTGAAGTATACCTAAAGCAATAAAAATACAACAAAAACTTCTTAAGGGTGGTGATTAGCTATGACCTTTTTATGCCCCA